CTGCCTGCCGCGAACAGGAAATATTGCAGCTGTTGCAGCTGAGGTTGCAAGGTCCTAGCGCTTGTTTAGGGTGATTTCCATGCATATGAGTGCAGCGTCTGTGACTACTCTCTGGTGCTCTATCCTACGTGCCCTGGTAGCGTATGTAGCTTGTAAGCACTTCTCCGGTAAGCAAAAGGGCTGGTTCGAATCCCGTCTGAGGCGAAATTTTTGTTCACAACCCAGCATTAGTGTAAAACATATGCGCCAGTAATTTATAGGTGACTCGGTGCTGAAATTACTACCCCCTTTATGGCCTGGGATTTCGCTTTTCCCATTACATTTTCATCATGCTGCTTTCATGCCCATTAATTTTTCTTTATGCTTTTTCACATTAACGACAGTCCGCTGTGCGTTTTCCTCGCCATATCCTTTTCTTAATATTTCCCAAAAACAGTACTGCTCTCTCAGTAATTTCGTTATTGAAAAAGGTACGGTTTCGATAAGGCCGGTTGACTTCACTGGTGGAACAGACCTTTCAGCGCGTTGGGCGGGGAGGGGTCGTTACTGAGACCATATCTCGCGGCCCTTCTACCATTGACGTTCAACGATGCCATCAAAACTGCACCCCCTTCCAGCTATCGTGGCCACTGCCATTAAAAGATAAAAGGATAAAGCATTTGCCGTTGATCAATCCCTTTTTGGGATGCGGCACGCATTCTACTTCCATTTGTACATTCGTAGTGGCGTTTGAATGCGATGTGGCCTATACAATGACTTGCGGGGGCCAGCCGATGTACAAGTCAGTGTTTTTATCCTCCCAGACAAGTCTGGTACCAATTAACCGACCCCGGAGGGATGGAAGGCTACACCACTTCGCCCATTTTAATGATACTTATCAAGAACAAGCTTCGCATAAGGAGATCAAGCAAGTGCCGCCGCTCGATGTCGTGCTTTCCTCTGGGGTGTTTTTGAGTGACTGAGTACCTCAGTTAGCTTAGTGATTTATTGGTAGCTCCGCTCTTGAATGTGGCAAATAAAAGTCGAAACTTCTGGACAAGATCACTATCTCATTAGAATCAGACACGTGTTCAGTATTCATATGTAATTATGACCACATTGCAGCATGTCTGTGGCCAGCCAAATGATGTAAAATCTGTTAATTTTTTTGAGGCACGTATGGGGTGCATGTAATTGAGCGATGAGTCTCCACTATATTTAAGACTTTCTAACGCCATCCCTCCCCAGTCCTACTGGTCGGAGGGTTTTGAAGATGGAAACTAAGCTGGGAAAAACTGGGAAAGGTAGGGTGTGGTTAGCAGTCATGCGGAAGACTAGGTAGGACTGCAAGAGGGGTAACCGATGCGGTGGGGTTCTATGAAGAACGGACGGGGAGATGGAGGGGGAGGTGGAGGAAGAGGGTAGCGCTTGACCCCTGAGCTTTCCCAGCGTGAAGGTTTACTACGTGCCAGACCGGTGAAGGTGTTCACGCTTCTCATCGAGGAGCTGGATCTCGAGCACGGAACGGCGCTTCCAGCCACTGCACAACTCCAAACCCTACCCTAGCTTTTTTAGAACAAAATTTTCTGCATCTGCACCGAGAAATGTTTTCTGCTCCACAGAGGTACCTATAATCTGATGAAACCTCGTCTTCCATGAATCCTTAGAGGAATCTTCCACGGAAAAAGCTCCGCCCTCATTACCACAGAAAACTATCCTTAACCCATTGCGGACCGCCGTTATAATTGCACCTCCGTAGGTTTTTGTCATCTCTTTTATCAGTGGCCAATAATCTATCGAAAATTTAACCAGTACGC